CAGTGTAGAAGGGTTCCCCTTTCTCCGCATCCTCGCCAGCAGCACCTTTGTTCTCTTTCTGTCTGGCTTTTCTCTTTCTTCTTCTGACTCTCCAGAACAGCATACATTGCATGCCAGGCCTTAGCCATCTCTCCAAAGCCCCTTGGACCTGCTGATATGGAGACCCCGGGGAAGCCCAGTCTCTCCTGGGCCTGCATATGCTGCTGTTCTTCATGTCACTTCCTACAACTGCAGAGAGACATATTAACGAACGCCTATCTTACGCTACGTAAAGGGCTGGAAAATGGCACTACAGAGTGAAAAAAAGCCCTGATCTCAAATACAACTAAAAAAAAAGAAGATTTTGTAATTTGTAAAGAGTCTTTCAATGTAATTAAGTAAAGAAATTGTATACGTTCGATAGCACAGGATCAAACTTGAAGATAATAAATAAAAAGGAATATGTTTGCCTCTGAGACCTAGATGAATTCACCCAGGACTTCAGCCATATTCTAGTGGAGGAATTTGAAGTGCTGTCAAATTTATTAATTTTTTTGAAGATTTAAGTCTCCTAACAGTCCCATGGACTGGATATTGGAGATAGTGCTGCTATCATGACTCTGATTCCTGCCCCCTAAGTTCTTTGAACTAATTGCTAGTTTGGAATTCTTATAAAGTCAATGACTGAGGCTTCTCATTAAGAAGAGAAATATTCTGGAGCACCTGGGTGCCTCAGTTGGTTAAGTGTCTGACTCTTGGTTTCGGCTCAGGTCATGATCTCAGGGTCCCTGGATGGAGCCCTAGGTTAGGCTCCATGCTCAGTGGGGAGTCTGCTTCTCCCTCTCCCCCACTTCACCTCCTTGTGCTCTCTCTCTCTGTCTCTGTTTCTCTCTACCGCGAAAATAAATAAGTCTTAAAAAAAAAAAAAGAAGAGAAATATTCTAAGGAATGGTGTCCTATACTACTCTTTGCTTAACTTTTCCTTCAACTTTAAAAGGAAGCTAAAACCCTGTTGGAGTTAATGACTGTTTCACCTACTCCAGTTGGATGATTGTGATGAATTCCCAGGATATCCTGTATAGAGAGCTAATAAGTATAAAACACAGAAAAATCATAACCATCCATTGTAGTTAGTACAGGGTCTACTATGCATTTTTTTTTTAATTTTATTTATTTATTTGACAGACAGAAATCACAAGTAGGCAGAGAGGCAGGCAGAGAGAGAGGAGGAAGCAGACTCCCCGCTGAGTAGAGAGCCCGATGTGGGGCTCCATCCCAGGACCCCGGGATCATGACCCGAGCCGAAAGGCAGAGGCTTTAACCCACTGAGCCACCCAGGCGCCCCTGTACTATGCATTTTTATTTTAATGTTTCCACAATTTTTTAAACATTGGAGGGGGAGACAAACCATGAGAGACTGTGAACACTGAGAAACAAACTGAGGATTTTGGAGGGGAGGAGGGTGGGGCGTTGGGTGAGTCTGGTGGTGGGTACTAAGGAGGGCACGTATAGCATGGAGCACTTGGTGTGGTGCATAAACAATCAATCTTGGAACACTGAAAAAAATTTTTTTAAATCAGGATAATGTTCAATTAAAAGCAAGATCATGCTGGACATTATTTTTTATTTGGAAGAAACTTCTTTCTCAGAGCTTATTTGGGCATCATTTCATCTTCTTTGGTTCCTGTGCACCTGCATTAGGGAATTCCTTGATTACTGAATAGAGTCTTGATTAATAAAATGCACTTGCTATCCAGCATTTAAGAATCTCTTAACAGTGTCTAAATTTCAGATTTCAGAATTCAGCATGAGACCATGTTACTTGAAGCTGACATTTTGGGAATAGAGATTTTACATGTTAATGAGTGAACCCGTGTTGAGACCTTAATTCTGCAAACAAAATGTGTACCTCTTCTGTGGTGATTTTCATAAGGAAAAGTTTCAGAGAGGGGGAATTAAGGACCACTGAATTCTTACATTGAACCAGGCACATTTATATTCTATTTAAGAAAAACCTGACCCAACCTGTAAGGTTGGCATTTCTATCTTTATTTATATCTAGGGTTGTCTCCTAATGTTTGCTAACTTCAAAGTGCATAGTATATACATACATCTTAAACTTACTTCTTAAACTGTCTTTAAATGTAGAGTAGGATCACAGTCCATATATACTCTTTCTCCTCTCTAGCAAAACAGAATATGCCATCCTTCTTATTGTGTTTTGCTGCCAGATATTCTCATATGAATGACATCTAGTCTTTTTTGACCCTAAAGTTTGCTTGTCTCATCTTTCCTGACCTTTGCAATAGTCAACAGTCTGTTTTCCTAAAGTCTTTAAAAGAATGTAGTCACCTCAAATTATCTGAAACACCCTTCAGCTCCTATACAAACAGAATTGAATGTTGTATCCTTATGAATGACCCCATAAGACAACAATAAATAAGAAATGTTTATTTAATCAGTAGGTTTAAATATATATATGTGTTGTGTAACTTCTTGTCCTTTTTCTATCCCTCTTCCTTTTCAGTGCCTGTGGTTTTATAGCTTAAGATGTGAAATGGTGATTCATTTTTGAATTTCAGATAAACACCATACCATTTTTACTATAAGCATGTCCCCTGGAAATATTGCATACTTACATTGAAAATTTTTTTCATGTTTACCTGAAATTCTAAGATAATTTGGTGTCCTGTGTTTTTAATTGCTAAATCTTGCAACTCATCTGAACGCTTTTTGTTAAAGTTCCTAATTCGAAGGAAATATATATTTTAATTTTGATTTTTTATACTTTGAGAGTATGTGCCTGCTTCAAATGGCTTTTATTTTCCCTCACTGATTTCCTTTTAAGATTATCATTATTGCTTATTAATTGTTACCCCTTTGGCTCCTTCTAGGACAATAATGGAGAGGATGAGAGTCATTTTCTCATTATCTGGAGGTTTATAGTTAGTTAATTATTTGTGTTATTTTATTCAGTTTTCAAGTTAGCCCCTTAGGAGATATGATTACACATTATTTCTTCAAGAATTTTTTTTTAAGTCATCAAACATCCTCTAAACTGATACTTAGATTTAAGATCTCTATCAGTTTTTAATCCTTATTGGAAAATTAAAACTTTGATAGCATCCCCCTTTTACTTTCACTGATATATTCTGTGCAAAGGTACTATGTGTGCCATTCCATGTTTGAAAATAAATACTGCGACTACTCTTTAATTATATTTTTGTCTTCTTGTCTGGGAAGTTTTCAAAGTCACAGAATAGTGAAATTAAATTTTAAACTTTGCACGTGGGTAACTATTCTTTCTAGAAGGTGTATCTTCTTTTAAAATGCTAAAGGAGTCTCTCCTTGAGATATGAAAATTTATACCTTGGAATGTTGTCTCAAATGCCACCCCCACCTCAATCACAAAATGAGGGCTTTATCTAAAACCGTTACTTTATTTTCAAAGAACTATCTCTAAGAATTTTCCACTCACAGAAATAAAATATCTTACAAAATATCAAAAGAGCAAACTCCATAAAGAATTAATTGCACCGATTGTCTCTCTATGTATTATAGGCCCTACAGAGTCTCTGTAGAAAACAAAACAAAACAAAACAAAACAAAACAAAACATCAACAACTACTATAACCCAGTGAGAGGTCAACAAATCCCAATGGCTTTTAGCTTATAAACTGAAGTCTGTAATCTTAGGAATTTACTGCTGCAGAACCTTATAAATTTACCCTTAGAACCAGAAGATAGATGAAACCATGTTACAGTCCTTGAAAAAAATCTCTTCCTCTCTGATTCAAGATCAAGGTCTGCATTGCTGTTTGATGTGGAGAAATCATCTTGTGATTTTAGTATTTATTTTCTTATAAAAACAACATATTTTTCAGTAATTTAAGTGTTAGCTCGGATTTTCTAGTGAAAATGTCTTTATTGCTTATTGAATCAATATATTTCCCATTATTCTTCACAGTAAGCATCAGCAACTTTATCTTATAGGTTTAAAATTTATATTTTTATTTGCATTGTTTGTATTATTTGCATTATTTTGTATAATTTGTATTAATAAGCTGGTGTAGAGGCCATTGATGGAACAGACATGACATCCCTAAACCAAAATGTTTGATCAAGATTAAGCCAAAAGAAAATAAAGTTATTCCAAAGGGAATGATCTAAAACATTTATATGGAATTACAAAAGAAAAGAAAGATTTTGTCATCATCTTTAAAATTTTTTTTGCATTTTTTTAAAAGCAAAGTCATTCTATGCAGCTCAGTTAAATTATGGAAAGGCTCTGGGAATCTGGAAAATCACACAGAGTCAGTAAATGAAAGTGTAGATAGAATATAATTCAGCTGCCTGGAGAGTGTTAGCTCTCTTAGAGCTAACATGTAGCTCACTTATAAGTGTGTCTGATAATTGTGTTAGAGTACGTGACCTCTTTGGGTAAGTATGACCCCACATGAAGTCAACTGTAATGAATTTATTTTGAGCAGTTCATGGCTTTCGAGAGAGCCTTAGTTCCAGAGAGGTCAAAGTAAGGTGCCATGGGTAATCTCTCTAATCAAAGGTGGGTGTTATGTGTAAAGAAATTGCCAAACGCCCCCCATGTCTTTAAAGAATTAATGATACATTACAAGAGAGCTCACACCACATTTTCACTCATGCTCTGCCATTTGTAGAAAGATAGAACCAAGTATTATGACCTATCCCTCCCTCAAATTCTTGTACCTGGGAAACAAGAAAGGAGGAGATGGTCTTTGCTCTTTGATCAGAGAGTGAAAATCCTCACTGAATCTGAATTTTGCTAAATAGGGTCATCTCAGAAGTGGTCTCAGAGGGACATTTAGATTTACCTTTCTTGGCCTTTCACTACCTTAACATTTTTTCTAATTCTTCTCTTTCATTGTCTGTACTCCTGTTTACAGCTGTGCCATTTTGGTGTATTTGATGTATAAAGATAGAAATGAAAACTAATGTGTCTGTCCACTTGTTTTTACTGACTACTGGATTCCTGTTCTGTCCAGGCACTGAAGGAGCAGTATTTGGGCACTCTGTTGAAACACCTCACATCAGAGCAGAACCTTCCCAAGACCTCAGGTAAGTTCTGCCTCCTCCAGCTCTGTCAGACTTCCCATCACTGTTGATTTGCCCTTGATATACAAAGAAGTAAAATTGAAAATGTGCTACATACTTATATAAAAAGTTGATGTTCCCTACCTACATGGTAAATATCAAGTATTTGATTGAGGACAAGAAAATGTGAGTTATTATTCTAAATTTATATGTATTTTTGCCCCTAACAAACATACAAAAAATATCAAAATAAATATGTCAGACAGGAAGAGTGTGGAAAAGGCAGTTATAGAGAAAGTTTAGAGGAAGATTGATAAAAATCAGGATTCTGGAAAATTTGACATAGACAATGAAACACATGACACACATAGGCAGAAAGAATGAGGAGGCAGAGAGTAGGAAAAAAACAATAAATGGTCAAAGGGTGTTGGGTTGAGGCAAATGCAAAGCAATGTAAATAGTAATCAGAAAAAGGCAGAGCTTAAATATCCTATACTGGACTCCTCAATTTAATATTGCCAATGGAATAGGCTGCCTCCTGATACTGTACTGTTTGTAAGAGGCACAGTTGTATGTAACAGCCCTCACTACCTAGAAAAGTGTAAGACAACTTTATAGGGATTCTTCCCAGGATAATCACAGCCAACTGTTAATAAAAGTTGAAATACTAAAGTCTAGTAAGTGATCAATGGATGTTCTTTTTTTTTCAATGGGTGTTCTTAACTCAATAAATGACTTAAGTTATCAGAGGATCAGAGATATTTTATAATGTGGCAATCATTTCACAATGTACCCGTACATCAAATTATTATGTAGTGTACCTAAAACTAATAGAATTTTATATGTCAATAAAAAAGATGTTTTATCTAATTACTTTCTGATAGGTAAATTACACTCCTAATACATTTCTATGGGATTAAAAAAGACAACAATAATAATTTTTTAAAAATCATATATTAAAAGTCATTTTTAAAGCTGAACCAAAATATCAACCTGGGAGACAGTCTTCTTTGTCTTGGAAAACACAATACAAATATTAAGAAAAACAAATTATTTCATAAAGATCTGGTTCAGCCCTTCCCATTTGGATAAGTGGAAAAAAAAATGTTCAAATGAAAATAGAAAAATAAAGTAAAAAATTTTAAATGTAAAGAAAAAAAATCCCATACTTTCACAACAGTACATTTTTCAGACCTCTATAGTTCTATTATAAAATTTCCTAAGGAACTCAGTTTCTCAGTATCTCAGCATTCCAGATGCAAACAGGCTGGTTAATAATAACAGAAAAGGGTAGCCATCTTCCTGTGATCAAGGCATTTTTTATTAGACAAAAATAATTTTTTACTCAATGCCAAAACCCAAAGGATTTAGGAGGGTAGACGAGTATGTATAAACAGCATCTCACGGTGTGTTATAGTTTTAATTTATGGATTTTTTTTTTCAGTTAGGAATTCAACATTTTTATGTAATTATTTATCTTATCCCTCTGCATCTAGCAAGGTTGTATGTTCCATTAGACCAGGATCTGCATCCTTCCTTGTCTATCTTTAGTGCTATAGCAGTCAACATGTACCTCACTTATAATTGTGTCTGATAAATATTTGTTCATTTGAATTGCTGAAATAGCAAAACTCAATAGTGAGGATGTTGAGTGCATGTAATATAAGAAATGTCTGAGTTACCGTGTCTTAATTTTAAGACTCATGTGGCCAACATTAACTCCAATTGTTTTTGAACTATGTTTTAGTACAGGTGCCAGAGTTTAGTGATTTATTCAATAAAAATTTATTTAAATTATGCCATTCTAAAAGAAACCTCATTGTACTTCTAACATTTCAATGACTATATACTCATTATGAAAATCTATGCCAAAAGAGAAATAAGAATTGCTCTTTTAATTACCTTGCTGACATGTCTCCAAATTCATAAGTGTGAATTTGAATTAAATTATAATTAGCATATAGTGTTTCTGGTTTTTATTTTCTAATTATCCATCAATTATTTAAATATTGCACTAAGCTAAGCTTATCTACTAGTGCTAAAAGCAAATTAGCAACCCCCAAGATGAGTGTTACTGATCTAAATTCATAAACTGAAACAGAAGCAAAGCACAGTAATGATGGGGGTGTTCAATTATTCATTTGTGTACATGAAGATTTAAAGCAGAGTGTCTGAGAAGATCTTTACAAGTCCTGCTGACAATTTTCCTTTCAGGGCAGTAAGAAGTACTCTTAGTCAACACCTAATTCTAATCAACAAGGTGAGATTGGTTGGCCAGGTAAATCAAATGGTAATTTGGGGAGTAAGTAGCCGTGTTGCCTTTAATTTTGTTTTTGTTGAGAATAAAAGACTTTGGACAGGTACATTTCAAAAGGTTTATTAAAGAGTATAGGTAGTATTTGGTGTGGACATGAAGTCGATTTCTACAGTTTATTTATTCAACCAATGTTTGATGAGTGATTCATGTGTGCCAGATTCTCTGCTAGTTTCCATGTGCACTACACTTGGAGATTTTCTATGATGTCTTATATAGAGTGACATTGCCTTTTAGGAGGGCCCTGTGTGTTAAAAAGGTGAAAAAAATATGTTGAATAGTAAGTAAGGACATAATGGTGTATGTGTCAAGAATAGCCCAAGTATGGGATGTTTTCCTTTCTTATTTCTTAAATTAACATATAGCTAAATTATTACAGTTCAAAAGAGTTTCTCCACTCTCTGGTGAGGAGTGATGAAGCCAGCTGTATGTTGCCCAAAGTGTTTGGATCTGTGTTTCATTAACAGTTCCAAGAGGGGAAAAAAGAAAAGAAAAAAAAAAGAAAGAAAGAGAGAAAAGAGAAGAATCCAGACTCGGATTCATTTCAGTAAAATGAATTAATATTTAATGATGTAACTGGCAACTCCTCATCATGTTCATTCTTATATGAATATAATTTTAAACTGAAATGTTAAATTTTACAGGTTCCAAATTAATCTCTGAAAACACATAGCTTTTATTTACATCATGGCTGTGTTAAAGGAAAAGCCACCATGTGTAAGGTAGTAAGGATTTGGGGCTGAGATGTTTTGTCAATGAAAGGCTAAGATAAATTTGCTGGAAAAAAGATAATGAAATAGTATTCTGCTTCTCTCCCTTCCCCTCCCCCTCACCACTCTCTCCTTTTCCCTTTTTCTCTGCCTCTCTTTTTCTCCCCTTTTATTCTTTCATGCTGTGTATGTATTTATATATTTATTTAGAGTTAAAAGCAAGTGATCATTATGGGAAGGTTGTCTTAGTGTGTAATCTTAGGAACACAGAGCAACAACTGATCTAGAAATTTGTTTGATATAACTTGAAGGAAGAGACCATAAAGGAAAGTGCAAGTATGCAGAAAGTGGTAAAAACAGAAACAATGTGATTTGCAGATGAAGAAAACTCACCTCAGCCCAAAGTGCTAAGACATTAAAATTGCTTATATATTCAGGTCACAGCTTGCATTTTTCCCCTAAAACATTTTTTTCTTCAATTTTTCATTCATTCCATCATTGAAATCAAAAATAATTCATGTTAAGTATTTTATAAAGAGTGAGATACCTGGTGCTTAAGTTCCTGTTAAGTCTCTATGTAGTTAGTCATTGTGTCTCACAAATGACTTTAAAAGGAGTCTGAATTCCTTTCTCAGAATGTTGTGAATTTTTCTAGAGACCAAGGGCACTCATTTTCAAACTGAGGTTCGCATAACACCTTAAAAACAAAATCTTATTTAAACGATAAATAAAAGTTCATGTTCTACCAAAAAAAAAAAAAAATCTTATTACATCTTTGGTGTGTAAACACAGTGAAAACTGAATTTCTTGGGGAAAAAAAACAGGTGATAGGGTGACTGGAGTTCAACAATTCTCCTTTTCTCTGCTGGAATCTCGTGGTATGCACTCTAAGAACTAGTCTGAAATCCGTTGCTATGATTGTTATGATGCTTTCAAAACGAACACAGTTGTACTTCATTAATTCCAGTGACTAATCACATAGGAATTCACAAGCTTTGCAAATAAACATGGGTTTCATTTTTCAACAGGCCCTTTTAGAGAATGTTTTGTAATAAAATGAATTTAAGTAAAAACCTCTACTATGTTATAAATCTTCCTCAGAGGGGGCTTGAGAATTTCTATATAAGAGAGAAACAGGGTGTCATTTAAGTGTTGATCCTATGTTGCCAAGAGTCTGCTTATTACATAATTCTAGAAGGGAATACAGGTTTAGTCTAATTTGAGTTCCAGTGTATTCAAGAATGTTCAAGCTCCAGAATGTCTAAGTCCAGGACTTCTGTAGGGATTCTAGGCTTATTTGGGAAGTCCAGAGTATCTAGAGGAAACCAATACAACCTAAGACTTAGGTAGTAAAGTTTATCAATTCTTTTTCTTTATGATTTTGGGGCTCTCTATCTTGTTTCAAAGGTTTTCTTTTTCTTTTTTTTCTTTTTTCTTTTGGGTATTTTGGTATTTCCTGCATGTTCTTCTAATTTTCTGTCATTTATTTTGTATACTAGGTAATTTATTTCTTAGTTTTATGTTTTGTATAAATAAAATTGGAAATTATGTTCTGAATTTTCTTCTAATTTTCCATTGAAAATTATAGTCTGTGATTTCTTAGATTTTATATTTTGAATGGTTAAAACTGGAAATTATTCTTGCAGAGTATGTTAAGTATCTAATGTTAGTGTCTTTAGTATGGAGAGTCAATTTATTAAGCATTATTGATTAAATAACCTACTATTTTCAACCCAAAATGATTGCTACATTTCTCACAAACTAATCGCTCATAAATACTTTTGATCTGTTTTAGATTATATTGTGTTCCATTGACAAATTTATAATTTTAATTCCAATCTCATTTTTAATTAAAATAATTTCAATATTTAGTTCTAATTTTAAAAGGAAAATCTCCCACTTCAACTTCATTTTAAAAATCTATTAAGTGTCACACATTTTTTTTTAAGATTTAATTTTTTATTCATGAGAGACAGAGAAAGAGGCACAGGGAGAGGCAG